GTAAAGCCGGTCTATATAGAAGTTAGGAGACTATATCAAAATTTTAATTTAAATAAAATAGCTGGAAATACTGATTATTGCTGAAAAATAATTAAAATTTGAGGTGATTAATTTTTATAAAACAAAAATACTTTAAAAAATATATTCATAAAAGAGTTCTGAAATAATTTTAATTGTTAACTATTACGAATTATCGTAATTGTATGGCAATTAAAGTATAGCTTTTGTTTTTAAAAAATTTACAACAAAATATTATGAATACAAATCTAATACTGAACAATAGCAAAAATTTAATAGTACTGCAAAATATTTGAAACGCAAAATATTAAAATATAAAGTTTAGGAAGCAGTATGTCACACAATTTCATTTACAAATTTAAACTACAGCGGCATCTTTGTGAGACCCTCACGAAATCCAAGTTGAAAAAAATTTGTAACAGCAATCATGTATGGGGAGATTCATTCAGAAATCCACATTTCAGATTTCCAAAACATTATCTAAAATTTTTGTTTGTTGCTTTATTGCTTGTTGTATCGAACATCTTATACGTTAATTAGTTGGTACTTCACTATTTGAGTTTTTGTTTATCAAAAAATGTTTCTGGGATATTTAAAATCTAAAAGAATTTTTGTTTTTAATATAATTATGTAATACAAATCATCGAATCTGGTTAGTCAACATTAAAATAATTCATAGGTAGGTTTTCAAATCTATTCAAATTACAATTTTCAAATTTGTTTCCGAACTCCTTCTTCTAAAAAACCTTATATGACTAAATTAAATTTGGATAAACCAGAAAAAAAATAATCTTAAAAATCTTGAAATGCCAATTTTGTAATTTCAACAATACCCTACATTAGCTTTTCTAAACTATTTTTAGACACGTTTTCTAAAACATTTCAACATTTGTTTTGGAACTATTCTTTCAAAATGCTGCTTCTTAGCAAATGGTTGGCAGAACTGGTTTCGATTTGAAAAGTTTTTATTCAGGCATTTTCCGAAGTACTCCGGTCTACGCATTTATTTCCAATTTTCAATGAGACCTTGATCCTGCAAAGATTTCACATATCTGCTTTATATCCTAGATGATTACGAATATTCAAAATTCAATATTGTGTACGGATTTTATTCTCTACCAAAATATAATTATTATTTAATCAAAATTTTTTGCCAATTATCCTCGTTAGTTGATGGTCCTTTTGATGATGATGATTTGGTATAGCTTCTTTTAGTGAATTTCAGATTTTCTTGATAAGTCATGTAAAAATCGTTTAATATTTTGTTTTTCTTTAATGTTACGAGTATTATAGTACAACAGGATCCTAAGACCAAAATTTTAATTTTTGTTTTCCCTTTTTTTGGTGTACAAAAGTAAATATTTGTTTCAAAAGTTTTTTCTTCAATTATTTATTAACCGTTTAAAGATGGTTGTTTTTTTTATGTAATAGATTCAATTATCTTTTATACATGTTTATGATTTTATTGATTTTACTTTAAATATTTTGATATGTTCCGGTTTTCTCTTTTGACTTTGTTTTTGTTTTATGGTTTATTAATATTAAATTTCAGATATTCAAAATTTCTTTGCTTTGGTTTAAGACCATAATAAAATGGTTGTAGTTTTTGTTAGTAAAATCTCAAGCTTTTTAAATTAGATATTTTACGAATTTAAGGGTGTGTTCTAATAAAAATGATCAAATTTTTGGTAATTCCTTTAAAAATTATTAGTAGATACAAAACTGACAGCTTAAAATAAATAGACAGAACGCTTGTTAAAAAAAATTTTACAAATTCCTGCAAAATATCAAATTTTGCAGTGAGAATAAGAATTAAAAACGGTAAGTTGACATTTTCTTTAGAAATTAAAATTGATATTACCGAAAATATGAATATATTGTACATTTTAAACGTATGCATTAATTTATTAGTTTGACATTATGTATGTTGTATAAATTTGATACTTGGAAATGCAATTTTTATAATGTCATTAAAATCAATATCAAGATTAAAATTAAGATTAATGTTAATTCATGATCCGAATAATTTTTAAATGAAAGTGCATTTGATATATTTTCGGTTTTATTATTTGCAAAGAGAAATTTTATGACATTTAAAGTCTAGTGGGTTTTACACGAATGAATTCTATTTGCAAAATATGTGAAATTTAAGGTGGGATACTTACAGGTATTTTTAAAATATTGTATTTTAAAAGTGAAAGTAGAACATATTCAATTTATAAATTAACACACGTTGCAGGTGTAAAATTTGAATAACATTAGCAATTCCCGGTATGCGCTCTAATTAAGAATGGGAAATAAAAAAGGTAAATTAAAGTTTTGTGACACATTTTTTATGATTTTCTATTAATGAATATGTGTAGATCTTTTGCAGATGTTTAAATACGATTAAGTTTAAACATTTTTGCTTTATTTTTTTTTATAAATATTCATTAATATCTTTATGATTCTTATAGACACTTAGTTTTACCGGTAAACAAAAAATATGTTTCTACCAAAAGCTCTTAATTAAATTAAAAAAATATTTGAAAAAAGCTTTCAACTTACTTTCAATTTTATCAACTTTAACTTTGAACTTAACATACATAAATAATGAAAAGACTATCACATGAATATCAATCAGCCTTCTTCTACCAGACGCGTCGCACATAAAAGTATGGCTGAAGTGACAAATTTAAAGTTCTAATAGACGCGCGCCTCACTATTTGTCACAAAAGGCGTTGAGTACGTTATTCTACTGAAAACTAGACGCATTATTAAAAAATGTCAAATTTTATTTTATTACATTTAGTCGCGTATATTTTGTTGTTGATGTATGATTAGATATTTTTATGTCAATAAATATTAATTTTTTTTAATTACAGTGTAAAAGTAACTATATTCGGCAGCAATTTCAAATTTTAAATCGAGTTAATAAAAAATGAATTTTCTTGATTTTTTCATCACTTTCATCTGCAAACAAAAATAAGCTCAAACATACCTGTTTTTTAGCTAATTTACTTTTTTTTATTGACACATTTTTCTTCCACTAGTTTATTTAAAAATATCAAAAAATTTCGAAACTCGCTTCGTCTGGCCAAAGAAAAAAATGTGACAGTTACAAATGTGACGCGTCAAGTAGAATAAGACTAAATAGTTTACACATTTGACACCACAATGCGAACATATGCAAAACTGACGTTCGTTTTTGTTTTTCAAAATTGAAATACTTTTTGAACTTTCAATAGAATAAAAATAAATACTACTAAAATATTTGGAAAAACAGAAATTTTCCTTAGATCAGCAAGTTTATGACAAGCGGTTCTATATTTTATTATAGAATAATTTTCACTTTTGTCTCCTATATTTTACATAAGTTCGCATTAGTTGTTGACATAATAAATGACATAATAAATTCATTCAATTTCAAATGAACTGAATTGAAAATGAACAGAAATTGAGTTGACATAAAATCATTATTAATAATTAAACAAGATATTATAATTATTAAATTAATAATAATTAACAAAATTTAATTATAAAATATTAAAATAAATTTATTTAATTAAATTAATATAATGAGATTTTATTTAAATAAATTTGAGAAAATATAATTAACATTTAAAAAATATTTAATATGCATGGGTGTGAGTGTGTGTGTGTATGAAAAATTATAATTTTTTTTAATTAATAAGTTTCGGAGTAGTTTGAGTTAGTGTTGAGGAACAAAATGAAATTTTTACACATTAAATTTTTTCGTTTTGTTTTTTTTTTTTCATTTTTTGTTTTTCTTCTTTTTTAATAGTATATTATGTGAAACGACCTTGGTGTTATATTTTTGTATTCTTAAATAAATCTTATTAAATGTTCAACTACTGAATTATAAATTTTAATTATTTCCCATTTTCGCTTTTATGTGTATATAGAGAAATCCTTCTTAAGTTGGGTTGTTTAACATTTTTCTTAGAATATATGTTTAGTTATATATATATACATACATATACATATATAAGTATGTAATTATAATATTCTTTTTTTTTGAGATAATCTTTTGCCTTAATTCTCAAGTTTCATCACCTATGCGGCCTTAAAGGTGTCTCTATATATTATGCGCTTATGTAGGTTTATACTAGGCACGCATTTTTTTTAAATATTTTGTTGATTCTTTCTAAATTTTACATAATTTTGTTTTTTCATATAGTATGTATGTATGTAATTTTGTTTTTAATTAGCAAACCAATATTTTTACTTCTCATTATTTAATTTTTTCTTTTCTTTATATTTTTTTTTTTTAGTTTTTTATTTAAACATCAAGTTTTGAATTAATGTGATATAAAAATATATAAAATTCGTCTAATTGTTAATCAGGTTTCATAAACACTTAAGATAATTTATTACATATAAGGCAAGACAAATTTTTTGAACAACTTTAAACAACACATAGTTTCAAAACTTTTTAAGAGTACATCGGTGGGTAGAGAATCTTCATTAAGATTTCTTAAAGAATATTTTTATGCTTTTTGTTTTCTTTTATAATAATATGCTTTTTTTTTTTTAATTTTTAATTTTTTACTTTAACAAACTGAATGCTTCTTGCCAAAAGAAATTTTAATAATAATTATGAAATGAAAATATTTAATAATAATAATAATAATAATTTGATTAATAATGATTATAAAAAAATAAATCACATTTCTGTGTACGTTTTTTTAATTATTTTCAATTTTTTTTTTGATTTTTAATTTTTAATTTTTAAAAATTAATTAATTTTTTATGAAATACATGTATTGTGACATAAGAATTTGGTGTTATGTAATAATAAAAATAAAACGGAACGATTTTGTTGTTGTTGTTTTTTCGACCCAATATATTGTTATTATTTTGTTTTTTTTTTTCAATTTTTCTCATTTTTTTAATTTTTAATTTTAAATTTTTTTTTGTTCAAGTAGTTTCTTGCTAATTTTTATAGTTATAATTTTAATTTTTATAGTTATTAACGTTTCCAATATGCTGTACCATAACCCATTGGTGCACCGCTCATAGCACGTTCAGTAGCATTTTCAATACTTTTTCTGACGCACTGATAGCAGCACACATATGCCAAACATCACTTAAACAATATTCTACGAAATGCTCTTCGAAAATCTTTATTGAATATTGTATATATGGCAGGATTAAGAGCTGAATTCATATAACCTAACCAAAATGCAACAGCAAATGCTGATTGTGGTATTTCACATTGAGAACAAGCTGGTGTTAATATATATAAAAGGAAAAATGGTAACCAACATGCTATAAAACTACCCATTATTAATCCTAATATAAGTGTTGCACGTTTTTCCTTTTTTCTAGCTATACGACGTTTCTCTTTTTCAGGATCACGTGGTTTTTGAACTTTTGGTATAACTGGTTCTGATTCTGCTGGGGAAATGATTTCATTTGATTTATTTGTTGTTGTAACATAATTATTTTTAATACCTTTTACATCATCATTTCTTTGATTCTTTTTACGTCCAAATATCGGTTGACATAAACGAAATTTTAATGGTTTTACAACAGCACATCGACTAATAACACCTGAATCAGAACTGGATGGGTCAAATTCACTAACCATATCTGTATCGACACCAAATGATAATGCTCTTGCTCTACTTTGTATTGGTGATACTTTTAATTCGTTTCCTAATTTATTTGTTGGTGATGTTAAAACAACTGTTGTTGTTGTTATTGTTATTGTTGATGATTGTGCTGATATTGTTGAATTACAACAATTACCGCTATTATTATTATTATGACTACTAATATTCGCATGAAGTGATGGATTTTGAGAATTTTGTGATGTTATCGTACTTAGTCTTAATGTTTCTTTATTATTTGAATATTGATGTACTTCTATTTCAGCTGGATCACTTGTTGATATATCTGATGCTAATTCGCATGTAACTACTGGTATAGGTACATTAGGTGGTTCATTATTTTGTCCTCCCGTTGGTGTTTCTATTGTAGCTATTTGTTGTTTTTGTTTATAAGCTGCTGCACTAGACCCGCTAGGCATTGGTACTGTACTTTTACCCGAAGTTTTCGAAAAACTAGTAACCTATAAGAAAATAAAATTTTTTAAAAATGCATTATTAATATTTTTTAATAAAAAGATTTTTTCTTGACAAAAAAAAAATTAAAAATTTTTTCTACGTTTTCATATATAAAATATCACTTTTAATGACTTTTGTCAGATCTATGTCAATTTGACTCAGAAAACATACAGTCAATTCGAAATATAACATGCAAAGAATCGAAGAATAATTTTTAATTTTATTTTCTAATATATGAATGAATTTCGATTAGGAAAACTAAAAAGTGATAAAAAGAGTTCGGACCCAGATTTTTCCAAATAATTATTGACGTATTACACTTTTTTAAATGTCAAATTTTTAAATTTTCAATTGACATTTCGTTACTGTGAACTATTCATTACCTGTGTTTACACAACGACTTTTGCCTTGCAGCAAGATTTGTTTTCAAAAGTCGTATTGTAAACCGGAATATTCTCCGACTAAAATTGCCCGGCCAAAAATAAAATTAATAATACAAACCATCTATCTAATTGTATAGTATGGCAATTCTATTGCAATTAAAATTCAAAAAGTCAAATTAAATTTCATAGTTCTAATTTGAATGCTTAAGACATGAACTTTAAATTTTCTTCTTCGAAAGTGTAATTTATAAAATCAATTTTAAAGGTTGTTTTTGAATTTGAATTAAATTTAAATGTCGTGCTGTTAAAATCATTAAAAATTTCTTTATAATTTTTACTTAAAAAAGAAAACACAAATTGATTAAAATTCTGAAGTAATTGCAATAAATTTCAAGTTCACAAAATAAAATCAAAAGAAAATATGTTTGCAGGGCTTTGTATTTTACCACAACATTACAATATTTCAAAAGAAATGCGATAAACTGAGTGTATTTGTACAGCAGCATTAAAATTTTATATATAATGGCACTACACAGGTTTGTATTTCAATATATGTATGTATGTATGTATACAATATTTTGCTTGGCTGATAATTACAATCTTCAAGTTTGTAGTGCACTTAGGGAAATATTACTGCAATAAAAAGTTATTCAAAATCAAATTAAATTTTAAATTCAAATCTATTACGGCGTGCTGTGAAAATTTATTGAAATATGGGATTAAGATATTAAGCAAACATAATTGTGAACATTTAAAATCAATATTATATTGTATATAATGATCAAGACTACTTATGGATAAGTTGAAAAATTAAAGAAAAACACGAGTTAACGCAATATTTCGATTTGAATTCGAGGTCTGTTTATGTAGTCATCAAGAATATATTACGCCTATTTATTTGATAAATTCACAGCTGTGTTAATGCTTAAGCATCTTAATAGTGCATAAGGGATTCCAATAAGTGTCTAAGAACAAAGTGCTTCTCTTCAAAATTTCAGTAACCTCGGAATTTATACATAACTCCCGAGTATTTTATAGAATAAATATTATGTACATTATGGCCCAACTATGGTATAGTATGGTATATATCAATACTTAAGGCAAATATCAATCACTAAGTAAAAACTACTGTTGGAGTCGAGTACTGCGCATCACCGGAATAAAATAGTGATAGTTCTGTATTATGTTAAAGGCTTACATGTAAAAATCTCAAAAAAAACTAATGTTCCGTAGCGTGAAATACACATATTCAATTGTAATGTGTACAGAATAAATGCATATATTTTATATTAAATATTAAAACTGGTCCGAATAACTCAGTCGTATAGTAAACATCTAATTGTCTTTGTTTTAATAAACTAATACAAGTTCAATATACAATAAATTACTTTTTTTTACCGACCGCATTGCATATGATGGCATCAAATTTCACATGGCGAGTTTTCAGCGGAAATTTGTTTCTTCATGGTAGTATTTTTAGAGAGATATCTGCCTGTCTGTCAATCTCTCTGTGCAAATCTGTATCTTAAGTTCGACTTGTCCGATTTTCACAAAAACTTTGAAATTATTTCGAGAATGAAACGGTTTGATCAACTTTTGAGATATGTCACTCCTCGGGAGCTGGATCATTACTACGGGCCGATTTTACATTTTTGACTATTTTAAAAAAAATAACCACTTTTTTCCTTTTTTCTTCACAATTTTTTTACAATAAATCACTTAATTTTCTAAGAAAATGAAGTGTCAGCATGTGGACTTTTACTACGTGCCGAATTTATATTTTTGCTCGTATACAGAGAAATAATTAACGAATTTACTTGAAAATTCATATTTAAAATTTGGTTATCAAAACAATTAACGGGCAAAATTTCCAAGAATATGAGGGCTCGGAACAATAACTTTCACTAAGGGTTTTATTCTTTTTTATCCGATTATATATATTTGATCATATCTCAGCAACTAATTGAAGGAATATCTTGAAATTCAATATTTGGATTCTGGTTATAAACGGAATTAACTTGGCAAATATTACAGGGAAATTTGATCACGGAAAATAACCTCCACCATTAACCAAATTTACATTTTTACAATAACTAAATCCTGCATTCTATCTTTCATATGATTTGGATTAAATATTGAATGGAACTGTTCATAATTTTATGAAAGACTATAATAATGCCGTCAATTATGTGCTGCTTAAATAAGATTTTTTTTTTTTTTAAATATTTTAATAAAATATAAATTTGAAATTATTTCATAAATTATTTATTTCAAATAATTTTATTTTTAAATTAAATAATTACTTTATTTTGTATATTTTGATTTTAAATTAAATTCAAAAAACATAATAAAAATTATTTTTGAATTTATGCTCATATTTATTTACAATATTAAATTTAAAATATTAAAATTTTATTTAATAATATTATTATTGCCGGAAAGCAAAATTTCTTCTCTTTAAATTTGATTAATTTTTATATAATATTGTACTTATATATAATTTTTTTTTTTTCGTAAATGAATTATACATAAATAACAATCCAATTACAACATTGCTAATTAACTTTCTTCTTTAATTCGTTTAAAAATTTTCGCTCATTATTATATAAGACTGAAAATGATTAATAGCATTTCTCTTATATACACGTAGATTTCTTGTTTTTCTTTTTCTTTTTTCTTGATATTTCAATGCCTACAAACATATTATTGTTATTATTAAAATATAACAATAAAATAAAGGAAAAAGTATGTACACGCATTAACGTACACGAATATTAAAATTGTGTGTACTCGTATAAATGTATATGTATATGGATATATATGGATATATAAGTATATATTTTTTCACCGTTAATATGATAATAATGTTGTTTTTTTTTAAAGCAGCTTATAACGTAGATTATTATTATTATTATATTATTCATAATAATCTTTAATATTTTCATGATTTTGCAGTAATTCTATTATATTACGCCTGAAGCTATGCAATTTTTTATTATTATTTAATAATATACGTACTTGGTCAAAATTGCTTTCTACAAGCTATATTTATTTTGTATATGTATATTTAACTAATAATTTCCTTTTGTTTTTCATCTTTTCTATATTTAATAACAATTAGGCTATTAAATTATTATTAAATTTTCAAAAATAATATTATACTTGTGTATATACGTACATAAATAAATATATACTTATGTATGTATAGAAACTCTTTTAGAAAATTCAATTTAAAGTTGAAAATTTAAAATATTAGTAGTCAAATTATAGCGAAAAAATAAGAAAACAGAAAAAACAAAATTAAATGAAAACAGAAACGTTAAATAGGTATTTATAATTATTTTTTTCTTTTATTCTGAAATTATTTTGTTTTCTCTACATTGCGTATATCCACTGAACTGATTCATTAAAAAAGCCTTTATTTACACAGGCATACTGTGAAAAGGGAAAGTATAAAAGGAAATTTCCAGATTGAAGGAAGTTACTTTTTTTTTTTTATATGTAAAATTTTTGAAATGAATGTGTTTGTTGGTATTAATTTGTATATAGGTATACAATATTGATGGTTAGGTACTTTACACTATGAAAAATTTAAGTAGAAAATTTAATAATTTTTTTTTGTGCAAGCCTACTATTATAAGATTTATTGTATTAAAGGAGTTATTACGGGGCTTGTTAAAGGAATGATTACGAATTTCCCTATTAAATAGTATACAAACACATAATTATGCAATAATTATTAAATTTATAAGAAAAAACAAAAAAAGAGAGTTGATTGCACTTCTTTTATCTAATTATTTAATCTTAATTATTATTCTTATATTTAATAGTATTGCACAGGGATTTGCCTTTGAGTAAACTTAGAAAAGGGATATAAAATCGCACCATCTAATGTGCTCTCAGACCGCAGGAAGGTGTTGTTGGTGCTCCAATTGGCTCAGGTTACATCGAAACTGGTTTGGAGCTGCGTACTCGTATTTGTGGAGTTGGCATCAACAAATCATTTCTTTTGTGTAGATCATACATATTCTATGTGACTATCGTGCTCCGACTGTCAAGAGGTACAGATAGTTTTGTTGGGACATTTTCAATGTTTGAAAGCTCACATGCAATCCAGGTATTTTTTTGGAACCGGGGTAGTTTAAGTGAGATACTGGATGGTCCGGCGGTCGGAGGGGAGGAATTCCTAAATCAATCTCATCGCTGGCATTGTCCTGATCTATCAAAGAATTTATTAGATTTCGCGATTTTGACGCTTTCTATTTGAAATTTTTATACAATTTTCCACATGATGACGCGAATATTAAAATATTTTCGACATTAAGGAAAACTGTATTAATGTTATACCAAAATTTTTAATCGTGTATATCGTATGTATGTACGCATAAGTATAGTATATATGTAGAATAAATGCAAATATATTTCAGTCAATTCTTCTATAATCGATTTTTTTTTTCTTAAATTTCATTTCGTTCATGAAGAAGTAAAACATTTAATAAGTTATTTTTTATTAAATAAACCATGAAGAAAATTAATAATTGGATTTTTCAACAAAAATTTCGAAAATACAAAATAAAAAAAAAAAAGGGAATGAAAAGTTTTTTTTTTGTTTGTTTTTTTTT